AATAATAATAATTGTAATATAACTATTTTATTAATATATTTAATTAAAATAATTATAATTTTTTAGGTTAAATTATATATTATTAAAGAATCAAGAAAGTATATTATGTTGAATAGTTTTAATACTTTACTATTGAAAAAATCTAAATTTTATTATTTAAAACTTAAAATGGAATAAATTGATTAATTTTTATAAGAAATAATATTATTAATATGAATTTTTATTAAAATCATTCACAATTAGATTTAGCTATAATGTATAGTAATGATGAAAAAAAATGACAATAAAAAATTGGCAATTGACAATTATCTTACCTAATTTGTATTAAAAAATTATAAAAATTTAATATTATATTCTCCAAATACACATTAAAAAAAATATTAAAATTTCAAAAGTTTATTATGTATCCATGATTTTTTATTATCAATTATAAATGCCTAGTATTGACCTTGTAAGATTAATACATAAATTTACATCAATTGCCTTTCATTCCTTCTTTATTAACCTTATAAAAACCTCTTGTGTAATGGATTCTTTTTTAGTAATCATTACATTAACCCTTCTTTTTACTTTTCTCTTTATTATTATTTACAAATTTTTGATTAAATTGAGATTTGGTGATGAAGATAGCCAATCAAGAACTTGTGAATAATGTTCTTAAAGAAGAGTGATTGTAAGCTTAGCATGATGCTTTGGATCATTATCCTGTTAAAATATTTACTTATTACCAAAAATCTAAGTAGTTTATTCAAATAAATTTTCATTTATAATCTTCTGGTAAAGTTCATCATTCATATTCTCAGTAAAAATGTGAAAACTGATTATTCTTTTTGAATAAAATGCTTCTTACACATAGATTTAAAGGGATATTTAACTATTACACACCTTGACATTAGTTTTCTATCTTTATAATGAATTATGATTTTATTATAAAACATTTAAAATAATAATTTATCAAAAAATACATTATTTTATCCTTTTTTTGTGAGTTTTTACTTAAGTGATACAATAATTCATAGTATTCTAGGTAAGAAAAATACTAAATGAGAAATATAAACTTTATACTCAAAAACTTAGAGGTTCTCTTTAATTATATAAGATACAATATCAAGGTCAGGATACTTTTTTAATGTTTTTATTATTTCTTTACTTGAAACACACTTTTGTGATTTTGCAATTTGACTAAGATAATGATATTTATTAATAATAAGATATCTTAAATATCCTGGATGACTTCTTTGCTTAAGGATATTTATTTTTTGAGCTGTTTTGAACTATCTGTATAGAATTTTTAATGGATACCCAGTTGTTTTATAAAGGTTTACAATTTTATGAACTTTACTATTCCATAAAGTTTTAATATAGTGACAACAGTCTTTTAGTACAATTATTATATAATGTATGTGACAGCTAAGCTACAGATTTTTATTAAAATAAGATGTAAACAACTTGTTTACATTATAATTTTATTTTTTGTTTAGGAAAAAACATGATTAGATCTGAAATCTAAAAAAAATTGTTATTATTTTCCACTATTACTGTATTTATAAGATTATAAATAATTAATTTTTTAGAAAAAATTTTGAATATCTAAATAGATTATGTTATATAACATTTATAATACATTTACAAGGAAGTAGATTTATTTATCAGGATAATTTAGAGGATTTTTATTTAGAATGCAATGAATATAAATATACAGTCAACTCTTATTATAATAAACTTTATGTTCTAGACCTCAACTTTATTATAAGGCAATAGTGAAGATTTTAAGAGATTTGATTAGCTAATTCGCTATAACAAGAGTATTTTTATTATATTTATTTAAAAATTTGTTATATCAAGAGTTCACTATATTAAGAATTAACTATAAAGTTTTTGCATCTATTAATATTATTATAACTACTAGTATTAAAGATAAAATTTTAAAGATATATATTTAAAATATATTATAAAAGTATTTTAATAGAAAGAAAAGAAAACTACTGAAAAAAATTTTTACTTTATAAGCTAAATATTATTTTTTTTAGTAAAATAAATTCAAATTTACATTAACTCAAAATTTTTTTGGTAGTTTTCTTCTTTTTTACTATAAATTTCTTATGTAATCAATATTAAAATATATCTAATATTTTTTTATTATATAGAAAAAATTAATTTGAAAGTTACATATTCTAAAAAAAATATATAAAATGAGAATATAGTCAAATTTCTTTAAATACATCCCTTCAGACTAAGAATAAGAATATATTTAGAAAGGATATAAAATACATATTTTAAAAAATTTTTTATAATATAATAATTATGATTTTATTTATTTTTATGTATCAGAGATTTTACATTAATATAATAAATAAAATTAATAGATCTCACCTAATAGAATTTTAATTTTTAAGTTATATTAAATAATATATCATTTTATTTATTAAAAAATTTTTTAGAATAGTTTCTTTTATTATTAGTTATTGATTTGATTAAAAAAAATAAATATTAAAATATTTATAGGACTTATCTCTGAATAATTTAAAGTTTTGAAAAATCCAGTAACTATAAAAGATAAGTAATCTTAGTTATTTGATTTAAAAAAAATACCGTATTCCTCCAAAAATAAGCAACCTTTTTTTATTATAAGGTTGATTATTTTCAGGTATTTTCAGATATTTTATAATATTTAATATATATTGCTTATAAAATTCATTTTCAATTCCAAATTCGATCTTGTGACTGTTAGTCACCTGTTTGTCACGTTTGATTAGCTATTGTCACGTAAAAATGTGAACAGAACTGCATTAAATACTCCATTTCAATTCATTTGTATGCTTGTAAAAAGAAAAATGCCGCTACCTAAAAGAAAAAGGATTGTTAAGCGCACTTCATATTTTATTAAACAAAAAAATACTACGCGAAAGAACACAGACAAATTAAGGCTGCAGAACACTTAATGCTTGTATACAATTCTTTTAGAGGCCATTTAGATGAATCGGTTAAAAGAAAAATTTTATGAGTGTGACTTTGATCTCACGGTAATCTCAGGTGGGTTGACTAATATTTGCTAACCACTTAACGTTGCGATAAACAAACCATTTAAAAATCACCTCCATATGGAATGCATGCTTGGTAGCTCGTGGCGGTGCAAGAGAAACAGCCGCGGAAACCTTTGTCGTGCTAAGTTTAATGATGTGTATTTATGGGTTAAAAATTCCTGGGAAAGAATTTCTGACGAAATCATCATAGGATCCTTTAAGACATGTGAACTATCGATTGATTTAAATGAACCAGATTCTGATTTAGAGATTATTGATAAAGACGACATTGATACCAATGACAATGATGGAGATAGTGATGATGATGGCGATTGTAATGATGATGATGCGAGTAATATTGATAATGACAATGATAGTGCTAGCGAATATATTTTCAATTGTTTTTAAATAACAATTATAAAGTTATATTGATTTAAAGCATCATGTTGCTTATTTTCGGATATAATACTATTTTCGGGGTTGCTTATTTTCGGAGGAATACGGTAATTTTGATGAATTAAAATGAGAAAATTACTACAAAATACAAGAGAAATAAAATAAAATCTCAAAAAAAAGGTTTAACATTACATTCTACATTAGTATATACTAAGGTTTATTTATAAAATTTAGATGTCGTACAAGTAATAAAAAAAAATCTTATTTAATGAACAGCGCATACAACGCGTACAACGCATACAACGTAAATTTTTAGTTTGCTACAACCACGTATACAGAATATTTTTTTGTCAAGCTTAAATAATGAACGGAATTAAAGCAAAAGCGGCCAAGGTTTTTTCTTTGAACCAATAACTAAAGAAAAATTGAAAGTCGACAGTTTGTACAAGTGGTACAAGTGACAAAGAAAGTAGGTTAATTTCATAAATAAAATTGTGATTAATACCACATATATTATTCTGTTAATATACTTTGTTTTGCCAGGACAAGATTGTATCAGAGTACGAATGGTAATTCTTATGGTATGAATACTATGATTTTTTAAGGTAAAGGATTGCGGTTTGATTTATTATGCCAATTGATATATATTAATAAATATTTTATGTCATTTATTATTAGTATGCTAATTGTTTGATTTCAGTGATTTAAGGTCGTCTTCTCAGCAAAACGAGTTGAATGTAGGCATCAAAGATGTAATACAAGGTCTGAACAAATCATGATTCGTAAAGTACTGAAGTCAGACAACAAATTACTTTGGATAGAATATTGCAAGAAAAATTTTTAAAAAAATTTTCTGATGGTTTACTTGCTAAACAAAATGTAAATTAGTTTTGTCGGCCATTATACCGAAACCAATTGGTGGTATATAAATTTTGCTGTGGAAGGTTTTTATATTAAATTTATATATATATATATGTATATATATGCATGTTCTTTTATTTATTGCTTTTTTACTACGATGTCAAATACTTTTTTGTGTTTTAATCCTGTTTTATTAAATAAGGAAAGATGGTGAAAGTAGGATATTCAGATCATGTAGATTAATTACACCTTTGTTTCATTTATATAATGCACCCGTATATGGAACTAGGAGTTTAATAAATAAACAAATCGGCAAGGCTAGAATAAAGATCATATCAACTTATTTCTTTATAGAATTAAAATATCTAAAGAGTAAATCTTGACACATCATGAGATTCAATCATCGCGTCCATTGTATCTCCTTGTAGCTTTTACAATGCTATTGATTTTTATGAAAGCGATTTTGAGATTAGATGAAGAGGTAATGTCAAAAAGAGCATCAGCAAAAAAAATTTACTTTTGACGCGTACGCAAGGATTGCAAGGACTTCATTTTTAAAACTGAATTTTTTTAATGTTCTGCGCCACGGGTATACCGGAAATGTTATCACGTGACTTTATCGTGCGATCATCGATCCTTTCATTCTCGTATTTAGAAAGAAACCGAGTGAATTATAATGACATTAAATGCTACTAGATGGGAATAATTAATATTTGTATACTACATTCTAACGATTAAATCAATTATTAAAAATCCTGCCAAAACTTGGAAAAAAAAATTTACAACTTTGCTCTGACAATTAAATTGTTCATCTGCAAAATAATAAAGAATAATACACAGAGAAAGATAAAATTAAAGTTCGTCCCCAAGTTCGTTCAGACTAAGAAATGTATATTATGTAATTATATTATCTTAATTAATCAAATTATGGATTCTCAAAAATCTAGAGCTTCCCGTTTCTTGATCAAGGGGGTTGGGATTATTATTACTGGGTGAGTGATGTTCGATTCCTGTCGGTTGTAGGTAAAAGGAATCTTGGGTATGTAATGATGAAATTTCTTGTAATTCTGTCGGCCACAGTACCATTTGAGGTGTTGAAGCGGAATGCCTCCAGGGTTCCTTTTCCTTTTCAGAAGATGACGCATCTTCGTTATTTAGTTGATTAGTATTACCTTTAACGCCGGAGAGTTCATCATGAATTAAAAAGCTAATTCTAGAGAGAACCGTAAAAAAATTCCTTTTCTCCGTTGACTCATTTTTCCATTTCTCTGATATTATCTTGGATATGTCCCCTAAACTAGCGTTTGGATTTTGTCGTTGTATCTCTACTTTAAGATCTTTACGATATAGGATGAAACTATTTTGAGAACGGGAGATTTTCGCTTTGTTCCTATTCCTGGGCACCAACAAATGTTCTAAGGGAACATTTGTCGGGAACCGCATGCCCTCTTGTGACATAGAATCCAAGTGTATGTTTATTAATTCTCTTATCTTTTTTGAATCAATATAATTTCCGTTTTCCATATTTTTTTTTTTTTTTTTAAAAAAAAAAACAATGATTAAGTCAAAAAGGTTTTAAAAAATTTATTATTATATTATTATTACTATTTAAAAAAAAAATTTTATTTATCTATATCTTGTTTATTTTTTATTTTTTATTTTTTTTCAAGAGAAACGGATGTCAAGTCAAAATAGATAAATAATAATAATAAATAATTATAATAATAATAATAATAATGGGAATTTTTTTTTCTTTGAATTAGAATGAGAAAGAAAAAATAACCAAAACGTACTTCATTTTTATACATGTAGTAGTTCGAATATAAAAATATTAGTGTATATATAATATAATATAATATAATATAATATATTATATTATATTATATATAGATGATACAATATAATAATACAGATGACCCCATTCAGCACGAAAAAGGAGAACAGCAATGTTTATGAAATGGTTTCCCTTCTATCCTTATTTGGAACTAGGTAAGAAACTTATGAGTAATTAATTATAAAGTTAGTTCCGAATTCCGAATCTCGATTGTCAACCCGTTTGAGGATATATTCATATCGATGTGTTGAAGATCAATTCGAATCACACAAATCAAACAATGTCCTTTGTATGTGAAGCAATTTATTTGTAACACGATGAAAAAAAAAAAGTTTCATATTTGGATAATTTTTTTTTTTTTATTGTACATTAGGAATTATTTTGGATGATAAAGTAAAGTAAATAAAAAAATGTCCGAGAGTGTGGAATCAATTTTTAAAATAACCATATAAGGATTCAATGTTAAAGAAAATTCATGTAATGGGTGAGAAGAATGGAATGTCTTGAGGATAACCATATAAGGATTCAATGTTTAGAAAATCGATGTACGAAACGACTTATTTTTCTCGTGCGACGGTCCTTGGGGGGATCGATGGGTAAAACACTTTACAAAGTTCACAAAGGGTTCAACACCAAATATTATGGATGTAACATTCTTAAACCCATGGAAGTTTACAAAAAATTTTATTTATTTATTTTATTTATTTATTTATTTTATTTTATGTATTTTATGTTTTATTTCATTTTATTTTATATTTAATTTTTAATAAAGGTTTTAAAAAATAATAAATCATCAAATTCCTTTTTTAAAATAAAAGCTCATCATCAATAATGACATTTCTATTACTGAAAATACTGAGAAATGGTTTTAGGAGACCCGTAATCACTTGTCCTATTTTGAACTCCGTTGTTGTACCTAATTTTAGTAATGATCATAAATTTAACAATGACATACGATTAATATCGGTTGTCCAAGTATATATATTTTTTTTATTTGTGAACATTCATTCTCATAATGATATTTGGAAAAGACATTACTTGATCATCCTTTTTATTATATTATTATTATTATTATGATTATTTTTCATTCCTTTTAAGGAGTGGTAAAACATTTATTTATTTTTTTCGAAACGATAATGGTCATTTTGTTTTACAAAGGTGTAAACAATTTGACAAAAATCTTTTTTTAGGCCTAAATAAGTGGCTAAATCGAACGCAGTTAACTTCATTGTGATTTTTCTTTTTTAAATCACCAATGAACCACAATGGTGAGACATGATCCGATTTGAATTCTATATTTTTAGTCAAAAATCATACAATTAAAATTTGGAACACAAATGAATAAAATACATTTTACATGATCAAAATTTAATTTTATTGAACTTATCAAAAATGGAAGTTTTGATTATTTACATATTAAAAAGTTTTTTTTTTTAAAAAAAAAAAAATAAGGTAATCAAATCTCTGATTTCAGTCGCATCATTATTTGATCTTACTGCAATTGACTCCTAAAAAAAATTCATTTTCTCTCCCTTTTTGTATACTAAAAAAAAAATCAATTTAAAAAATCATAACAAACTTTATTGATCGTTACTTGTGTCATATCTAAAAGAACGAATGAGATCAAATGATTTCCAAACTGGTAAACATTGGGGGTGATATTCTTTGTTTGTGGTAGAATTTTTTTTTGATAATAATATTGTTCATATTGTTCTATTTTATAAAAAAAAAACGGTCTCAAAGAACTCATGTGATATTTAGGTCACAAATCCATTTCAAGAATTTCATTTTCATAATCTTTTTTCTTAACGAAGAAAGAAGCTTTTTGCTATATTCAAGATAGGACTGATGAAACCGGTTACACAACATTTCGTGCGGCACTGCGGGGTCTTACAGTTAATTTCAAAATAGTAATGTGAAACGATGAATTTATTGACCTCCTCGACACTACATTTTGCAAATACCACACCAGTGTCCGCGTAACAAGAAAAGTTTATTTGGGGAATGTATGTATTTTTAAAATATGCAAGAAAATGTAATGATTATATTTATTTCGTAATTTATTTATTCTTTATTTGCTATGACAATGCCACATGAAAGGTAAAAATTCTGGAAAAAATCATTCAAATCAGTTTTTTTTTTTTTTTTTTTTTTTCCATCATCATCAATAGATCAATCAAATTTGATGATATTTTTTTTTTTTTTTTTTGAATTCTAAAATGATATTGACTCGCCATTTTCATTTTTATGATTCTATCTATAAACAATTCCTTTACTTTTGGTATAAATAAAAAAAAAAAAAAATTTCAAACTTTAATTTGCCAAATAGTACGTTTTCTATGACGTTCAAGGTAAAACCTTCATGGAGTAGTTACACTACATGAATAGCATGCTGATTCGTTAACATACTCTCGGTCTCCTTTCCTTGTTCCAAATATCTTTCTCTCGTGGTAAGGCGCTTTAAGACTTGAAATCAATCTTTTTCATACCTGCTTGCAGATGTGTCACATCTAAAAATTTGATCTTTTATGGAGAAAAGAGATCGATGAAAGCTCATACCGCAAAGGATATGATATAAACGTACTTTCAATCTAATAAATAACGCATGTTAAGGACACGAATGTCTTCATCAGAAAATCCGATCTCATACCACTAACCGATTGCAGTATTTTTGTCTTAATTCGGTGTAAAACGCGTAAGGTTAACCATTTCTAAGAATAATTTTATTAGATCAATATCTTGATAATCAAATATTCTTATTCTATACATTATGATGTCGAACTGTGATTGTGAGCTAGACGCAAATTTTTTTTTTTTTTGATTCTCCAGTCTTGTCGGTTTTGTTTTTCAGTTTCATCAATTTCGCCAATTTCGCCAGTTTCATGGTTTCACCGGTTTCGTCGGTTTCGTCAACTTCGTCAATTTTTCAATTTCTTCAGTTTCGCCAACCACAGAAAAAATAACCTGCAGTACTACTCTACTTTGATGTTTGCTATTCAACAGTATACTCTTTTTTTCTCTTTCTTTTATGTCTTTATAAACAAGTTCAACGACCAGATGCTCAATTACACTAAAATACCTCGTTAACATTCTTCTTTCTGTTAGAACAAACCCATCGTGCAATTTGAATCTGCCATATATAAAAGAGCATTAAGTTACAGTAAAAAAATAAAAATATATTCGGATTTCCTGTCGAATTGTATATTTCATGCAATCTTCAATTAATCAGCAAGGATTGCTACACAGCGATGGCATTAAAAAGGAAATATGTCGTGTCATTGAGATTTGTAGCCGTGATTTTTAATATTCCTTGCTTAATAAGATATGGTGATAATGCAGATGCTCGCAATGATTATTTGTTAATTCATGTTCCCTTTAGAGAAAAATGGTGATGGTGTACCCAGTTCAGCAAATAGAAGTCAATCATCATTTTTTTTTTTAATTCTTTTTTTTTTGAAATAAATTCAATTTTGGATCATATTGAAGATTTGTCAAAGTTCTTTCTTAATTCGCAAATCCAAAAGTGGTGTCTATAGTGATATAAAATTTCTATTCACGCACTATTTGACAACTCTCCAGTGTATGAGGAGACACCATTTACTTTTTAATGAGTACAGTCAACTCTCTATAAATGCAACCCCCTCGGGACTAAACAAAAGTGTGAATTTATACAGGGAGTGAGTGCATTTATAGAAAAATATAGAATAATCGGCCGGGGAAATATGCGCATTATGAAATACCGCGCCTATCATCTTTAATTACATGCGCGGAAATTAAAACGATCAACTGCGCCGAGCCGATACAGTTTTTTAAAAAATTTTTTTTTTTTTTGTATTTCCTCTTTCCCTCTTTCCCTCTTTCCCTCTCCTCCGCTTTGCTTCAGACTAATTAACTGAATTTTGGTAGATTTAATGATATTGATAAATGGTTTGTTGAAAGGGATTTTGATCAATTTCAAAAAGATGCACAAAAGTCTTGCATAATTTACAATGGTATATCTTAATCAGCATTTATTCAACGTGATTGTAAGCATTCTGCTTTGTTAAATTGTCGAATCATTGTCTTAATTGAGGATAAATGAAGCTATTTATTTCGTGTAGACTACAGAGTTTATATAATCACTGCTTGTTTTGTTTTTTTAGTTATAAGTTGAAGAAATTCAAGAAGAGGAAACAGATAATGAGAAAAAAACTCAAGAAGGAAAATTAGCAACAATAGAGAAGAGAAAGAATTATTGAAACGAGTACATCATTATATTGGATTATGCTATATAAATTTTATGAGGATGGGATGAACTTATTTATTACAAATCGATTAAGGATCGAATGAGATTTTTTTTTTTGTATTTATTAGAATGGACTATCAAAAAAAGATCTTTGTTGTTTTTTTTCTCGCTTTAAATCATGTGACTGCTACTTCTATGCTTATGTATTTTTCTTTTGATATTTTTGGGTAGTCGCATCATTAAAAATAAGAAAATTTGGTTGTGATGACATGATTGGAAAATAAAAAATGTCAAACCATCAAGATTCATTTAAGGATAGAAATATATTTTCTAATGGACCTAATTCGATAATTCCATTGAGAATTACGCCTTGTTGTTGGAAACTGTTATTATTTGCAATAGAAAAGGGGGGAAGAATCAATTTTACTTTTATATGCCAATTATGATTTTTTTCAAATTTTTTTA